TGACTGAACAGACTTACAAACAGCTATTTGAGCGAACTTGTTTTTAAGGAGAGAGGGCTCGGTATGAATTAGTGAGAGACATACAGAGCAAACAAAAATGGAGGTGATTTATTAACCCCAGAGGAAACGAGAGCGGTACAACAAAGGAAATGTAATTCAAAGCATCCTTCGCGGTTCATGGGAGCAATATTTACACAGACGTAAGAATGCATGCACTGAATGTTGGTTCAATCAATTTAATATTCTATTGGTTATATTATAACAGTTATCATGAGGGAATGAGGGAAAAACAAAGTATAGGCTGGGCGTGGTGGCTCATGCCTGTCATTCCAGCACTTTGGGAGGCTGAGGCAGGTGGATCATCTGAGGTCAGGAGTTTGAGACCAGCCTGACCAACATGGAGAAATCCCGTCTCTACTAAAAATACAAAATTAGCCGGGCATGGTGGCACGTGCCTGTAATCCCAGCTACTTGGGAGGTGGAGGCAGGAGAATCGCTTCAACTAGAGAGGCGGGGGTTGCTGTGAGCCAAGATGGTGCTATTGCACTCCAGGCTGGGCAACAAGAGCAAAACTCCATCTCAAAAAAAAAAAGCAAAAAACAAAGTATATGCCTGTGAGTTGGGGATAAGAGAGCAAAATTACATCTAAAATTATACAAACTCAAGAAAGAGCAGTGTTTGCACTGTTTAGAAAGAATAAATTGTCAGAAGGCTGAGCACAGTGGCACCCCTGTAATCCCAGCACTTTGGGAGACCAAGGTGGGCAGATCACCTGAGGTTGGGAGTTTGAGACCAGCCTGGCCAACATGGTGAAACCCCATCTCTACTAAAAATACAAAAGTTAGCTGGGTGTGGTGATGTGTGCCTGTAATCCCAGCTACTCGGAAGGCTGAGGCAAGAGAATCACTTGAACCTGGGAGGCGGATGTTGCAGTGAACTGAGATCGCACCACTGCACTCCAGCCTGGGTGACAGAGTGAGACTCTGACTCAAAATAAATAAATAAATAAATAAATAAATGAATGAAAAATTTAAATGCCAGAAGAAACAGTTAAAATAATTTAAAGTAGCTGTCTCTGGGGAATACAAATCAGGAATGGGGAAAAGTGGACAGGGAGTTGCTGTTTTTCCTGATAAATTTTGAAGCACTATTTGATTTCTTTTTTTTTTTTTGAGACGGAGTCTCGCTCTGTCTCCCAGGCTGGAGTGCAGTGGCCCGATCTCGGCTCACTGCAAGCTCCGCCTCCCGGGTTCACGCCATTCTCCTGCCTCAGCCTCCTGGGTAGCTGGGACTACAGGCGCCCGCCACCACACCTGGCTAATGCTTTGTATTTTTAGTAGAGACAGGGTTTCACCGTGTTAGCCAGGATGGTCTCAATCTCCTGACACGGGCGTGGTAGGCGTGATCCGCCCACCTCGGACTCCCAAAGTGCTGGGATTACAGGTGTGAGCCACCGCGCCCAGCCTACTTGATTTCTTAAAGTATGTATACATATTATTCTGATAACAAATTAAACTAAGGAAGGAAAATATTTTCACTAAGGCATCCAGTCTACATAGTTTTACAGGATTTTTCTACTAGCCTTTAAGAACCACATAATTCCTACATTATATAAACGATTTCAGAGCATAGAAAAAGGCAGGAAGCTCTCCAAATTCATTCTGAGGCTACCATAACCCACCATGGTATCAGTCGGGATTACAGGCGCCCGCCACCATGCCCAGCTAATTTTTTGTATTTTTAGTAGAGACAGGATTTCACCACGTTGCCCAGGCTGGTCTTGGACTTCTGACCTCAGGTGATCCACCTGCCTTGGGCTCCCAATATGCTGGGATTACTAGTGTGAGCCACCGCACCCAGTCAGATGATTTTAAATCGGATGATTTTTATTTTTTATTTACACCACCAATCACCAATTAGAAAATGTAATTGGGGGGAAAAGGCTCATTCACAATAACAACAAAAACCTTACAACGAGAATAAGTTGAACATGAAATGTTTAAGACCTATATAAAGAAAACCATAAAACTTTACTTAATGATGTAAAAGAAGCCTTAAATAAATGGGAAGATATACCCTTGGATTAGGAAATTTGATGTTGTCAAGATGTCAGGTTTCCTTAAATGAATCTATAAATCCAACACATTCTCAATCAAAAACCCACAACATTTTTTATAGAATTTGAGAAGTTGGCTGGGTGCGGTGGCTCACGCCTGTAATCCCATCCTGGCTAACATGGTGAAATCCCGTCTCTACTAAAAATATAAAAAATTAGCCAGGCATGGTGGCAGGCGCCTGTAGTCCCAGCTACTCGAGAGGCTGAGGCAGGAGAAAGGCTTGAACTTGGGAGGCGGATGTTGCAGTGAGCCAAGATTGCCCCACTGCACTCCAGCCTGGGCAACAAGAGCAAAACTCTGTCTAAAATAAAAAAAGAAAAGAAAAGCAGAAATCAACTCCCAAGTAGTTGGAATTACAGGCATATGTCACCTTGTCTGGCTTGATTTTTATACAGCCTTATCTGTCATTTTCTTTTTTTTTTCTTTTTGAGAAATAGCCTTGCTCTGTCACCCAGGCTGGAGTGCAGTGGCACGATCATGCTCACTGCAGCCTTGACCTCCCAGGTTCAAGTGATCCTCCCACCTCAGCCTCCTGAGTAGCTGGGATGACAGGCACATGCCACCATGCTTGGCTAATTTTTAAATTTTTATAGAGATGGAATCTCACTATGTTGCCCAGGCTCCTGGGCTCAAGCAGTCCTCCCACCTCTGACCCCCAAAGTGCTAGGTTTCCAGGCATGAGCCACCACACCCAGCTTCATCTTCTTTTATAGCTTCTGGGTTATATGTCTTGCTTAGGATAGTTTACTCCACCATCCCAAGCAAGGCAGGAGGATCGCTTGAGCCCAGGAGCTCGAGGTCCGCCTGAACAACATACTGAGACATTGTCTCTAAAAAAATTTAAATAAAATTTAAAAATTTAAAACCTATATACACAATTTATATAGAATGTAAATGTACAAAATTTACATTGTAAATAAGGTAAAAAAGATAAACAGATTGGCAATAATGTATATAGCAAATAATAACTTACATAGCAAAGAATTACACAGCTAGATTTATGAAGATCTCCTACAAATGAACAAGAGAAAGAAAGACAACCTACTAGAAAATGGGCAAGGGACACAAACAGGCTAGAAATAAAAATGTACTGGGGGGCCGGGTGTGGTGGCTCATGCCTGCAATTCCAGCACTTTTGGAGGCCAAGGCGGGTGGATCCTCTGAGGCCAGGAGTTGGAGACCAGCCTACCCAACATGGTGAAACCCTGTCTCTATTAAAAATACAAAATTAGCCGGGTGTGGTGGCGTGCGCCTGCAATCCCAGCTACTCGGGAGGCTAAGGCAGAATTGCTTGAACTTGGGAGGCGGATGTTGCAGTGAGCCAAGATTGCCCCACTGCACTCCAGCCTGGGCAACAAGAGCAAAACTCTGTCTAAAATAAAAAAAGAAAAGAAAAGAAGAATAACAAAAGAAGTATAACCCTAATTGTACCAAGTATCTGAACTGGCAAGGCTCAAAACTGAACTCATTATTTCATTCAATTAATATCTGAGCACCTACTAAGTGCCAGGCACTGTGCCAGTTCCTGGCACAAAGATGTCAACCTTGAACTTGAAAGGTGTGTGTTTGTGGATCTGCAAATGTATAAGGTTCTAGTTTATATGTCATATTAAGCACTAATAAGAGCCAGTCACTAAACTAAGAACTTTATATACTTTACCAAACTATCATTCAATTAATGTTTACTGAGCACTTGTTTTTTGACACTGCACTATTTTTGTCTATAGAAAGACAAACAGGCCGGGCACAGTGGCTCATGCCTGTAATCCCAGCACTTTGGGAGGCTGAGGTGGGCGGATCATTTGAGGGCAGGAGTTCAAGACCAGCCTGGCCAACATGGTGAAACCCCATCTCTACTGAAAATACAAAAATATTAGCCGGACGTGGCGGTATATGCCTGTAATCCCAGCTATTCGGGACGCTGAGGCATAAGAATTGCTTGAACCCAGGAGGCGGAGGTTGCAGTGAGCTGAGATCGTGCCACTGCACTCCAGCCTGGGTGACAGAGTGAGACCCTGTCTCAAAAAAATAAATAAATAAATAAATAAAAATTAGCCAGGCGTGGTAGTGTGCGACTGTAATCCCAAATACTTGGGAAGCTGGGACAGGAGAATCGCTTGAACCTGGGAGGCAGAGGCAGTGAGCTGAGATTGCGCCACTGCACTCTAGCTTGGGCGATAGAGCGAGACCCTGTCTCGAAAAAAAAAAAAAAGAAACACAAACAAATACAAACATGGTCCCTTCCCTCATGAAATTCACAATCTAGTGGCAAATGCAGGCATTAGTCAAAAGAGCACACACATATATAAAGGAAAATCACACAGCGTTGTAATGTACAGAGTAAAGATGGCCCAGCTGAGGCTCAGGGAGAGCTTTCCTGAGGAAAGATCTGGCTAATCCTGCGGGATGACATAAGTGAATTAGTTCACAGGACATGCTGGGATAGAAAGGAACCACGAAAAGCACTTCAGGCATTTTCCATCAAAAAGAGATATTACAGGGGGGAGGGGGGAGGGTTGGCATTAGGAGATACACCTAATGTAAATGATGAGTTAATGGGTGCAGCACACCAACATGGCACACGTATACATACGTAACAAACCTGCACATTGTGCACATGTACCCTAGAAGTTCAAGTATAATAAAAAATTTAAAAAAAAAAAAAGATATTACTGGGCCAGGCATGATGGCTCACACCTGTACTCCCAGCACCGTGGGAGGCCAGATTGCTTGAGCCCAGTAACTTGAGACCAGCCCGGGCAACCTAACAAGACACGATCTCTATTTAAGAAAGAGAGAGAGACAGAGATTACTTCAGAGCCAATGACAAAACAGAACGTTTTTCAGATCACAATTGCCTTGTTAACGCTTCCATGTACTTACTGAAGAAGTGAAGAGGAATGAAGAAAGATATCGCTCACGGTCTCTGCTGTAGAAATTGTGAGCTGAATGGACTTTGGGAGTGAAGCCCACTTTTGAAGCAGGTATGATTTCCACTCATCCACAGGCAGATCCATGCTGCTTTCGATCTATAAAATGAGTAAGAAAACAGGAATCTTACAAATGCACAATTTTAGAAAATCAAGAGTTTGGCTCCGTGCAGTGGCTCACACCTGTAATCCCAGTACTTTGGGAGGCCGAGGTGGGTGGATCATGAGGTCAGCAGATCGAGACCATCCTGGCTAACACAGTGAACCCCGTCTCTACTAAAAATACAAAAAAATTAGCCGGGTGTGGTGGCGCACGCCTGTAGTCTCAGCTACTCTGGAGGTTGAAGCTAGAGAATCACTTGACTGGGGAGGCCAAGGTTGCAGTGAGCTGAGATCACGCCATTGCACTCCAACCTAGGCAACAGAGGGAGACTCTGTGTCAAAAAAAAAAAAAAAAAAAAGAAAATCAAGATTTCATTCAAGGAAGCCTAAAGCAATAAAATCAATTCTTGTGGTCTTTTCCTCTAGTTTATATGCTAAGGAAAGATCTATATTCTCTCACAGCAATTCACTCAACATCCTTCCATTCAGAAATATTTACTGAAAGACTACTTTGTGACAGGTACCATGCAGGTGATGGTTATACAAAGAGGAAGCAGACTAGATAGCTATCATCTGTGTCCTCTTAGTCTTTTTTTTTGTGCGTGAGACAGTCTTGCTCTATCCCCCAGGCTGGAGCGCAGTGGCACGATCTCGGCTCACTGCACCCTCTGCCTCCCAGGTTCAAGCAATTCTCCTGCCTCAGCCTCGGAGTAGCTGGGATTACGGAGTGCGCCACTACTCTTGGCTAATTCTTGTAGTTTTAGTAGAGATGGGGTTTCACCATGTTGACCAGGCTGGTCTCGAACTCCTGACCTCAGGTGATCCTCCAGCCTGGGTCTCCCAAAGCGCTGGGATTACAAGTGTGAGCCACCGCGCCCGGGCTGATCCCCCTAGTTTCTCAAGTCTGAAACCTGAGACACTTCCCCAGATTTTTCTTTCTCACCCACCCCAGCAACTATTCAATTAACAGGTATTTCTCTCTCTTATATAGTTCAGCGTTCTCTTTCAACCCCCAGGTCATTCCTTCGGTTTAAGTCCTCACCATCTCGTCTGGCATTCTTCCTAGAGTGTCATAATTAGTGTCCATGCCATTGGCACCCCCCCCCCCCACTTTCAATCCAGCCTCCAACACTGAGACAGCAGTCAGTGCTCTGCCTTAAATTCATCAACGCTACTCCAAGCATATTGGGAAGCCCAGGACAAAACCGTCCTTACTTGACCCTTGGCTGACGTTCTAATTCTCAGGTCTCACTTGTTCCTCTGCAGCCTTGCATACTGAACTACTCATTGCGATCCCCGGCTTGCCAGGCTATTTCATCTCTCCAAGGTTTTGGCAGAGGCTATTCGTGCTTTCCGGACCAATCCTACCCTGGCTTATGGAGTCCACCTGGAAAATTCCCACAGGTTCGTTCTTCGACTCGGTTCAAACGGCACCTCCTCTGGGAAGGCTTCCCTGATTTCCAACACTCTTGGGGCCTGTACCACGTCTACCTGGCGCTGGGGCTACTCACGGCATAAAGTGCCCCCACACACTGTCCTCTTCTCCACGGACAGGGACCAGCTCTGATTCCCCTTCGGAGAGCCCCCCCTCAACGGTGCCAAGCTCAGGGTTTGGCCCCGGTCGAGAAGTCAGCCCCGCGTTGCTGGAGGAACCGGGTCACTGCTGCGACTCCATTTAGCAGCTGAGGTCTCAGGAAACAGCTTTAACCTCCTCTGGGCTACCAACCCGTGCACTCGCCGGAAACCGAGGCGAGAAAGCCTCGTGAGCCCGCTCCGAGGCGCCCGGAACTGGGCCGCGGACTCCCTCCCCGCGCCCGCGAAGCTCCTGGCGCGCCCCTCGGCGCCCCGCCCCGCGCCCCGCGTTCCGCGCCAGGCCTCCCTTGGGCCCGCGAGCGGGTCACGTGCGCCGCGCCTCGGCCAATGTGGCGGCTGCGCAGCGCCCGGGCCCGCCCCTGGGCCGCGTGCACGTCGGGGGCGGGAGCGGCGCACGCAACTCCTCGGGCCAATAAGTGCGCAGCGCGCGGGACCCCGGTGGGGAAGCTCCAGCTGTCGCGGGGTCCGCGCGGGAGTCGGGGCGGCGGAGCCATGGTCGGCCAACTGAGCGAGGGGGCCATTGCGGTGAGGAGGTGCCGGGGGCCGGGCCGGCGGTGCGGGATGGCTGCGGCCCCGAGCCTCGCGGAGTGGAGAGGGGGAGGGGAGCCCGGGGCGACGGGGGATGAACGCGAGGGGAGGAGAAGGCGGGGGGCGGTGGGGACCCGCCGAGCGCCCGTCTAGTGTCATCACCCCCTCCTCAAAGCATTCTTCCGATCGTCTTTGAAACATGCTCACGTTTTTCCTACTTAAGAACAAAGTAAATAAACGCTTGCCTTTCTCTCGATCTTCCACCTGCGGCCACTTTCTGTTTCTTCTCCTTTCCTGCCCCGCAGCCAAACTTCTTGTCTGGTTTCAGCCACTTCCTTTCCTCGCCTCTCATCAACTCTTTAACCCACTCCAGGCATCCCCTTGATCGCTGTAGAAAACCCCGGCTCAAGGGACCAGTGTCCTCCAAGTTGCTAAATCCAGCCCTTTTCCGTTTTCAGCTTACCTGAGTTCTCAGCAGCGTTTGCTTTTGAGCCCTGCTTCTTCTGCTCACGCCCTCTTCCTTGGGTTTTAGTGGCTCAGCTTGGCGGGTCTATCCCCATCTTATTTGCAGGCCCCTCTTTGTAAATTTTTGTTGACTCAAGGCTCCCTCTAGGCCCTCTTGACTCCCAAAGGCAATTTCCTTTTTTTTTTTTTCCTCCAGCCTGGGCGACACTCACTGTGTGAGTGTCACACTGTGTCGCCCAGGCTGGAGTGCAGTGGCGCGATCTCGGCTCACTGCAACCTCCGTCTCCCTGGTTCAAGCGATTCTCCTGCCTCAGTCTCCCGAGTAGCTGGGACTACATGCGTGCACCACCACACTTGGCTACTTTTTTGTGTTTTTATTAGAGACAGGGTTTCATCATGTTGGCCGGGCTGATCTCGAACTCCAGACCTCCATTGTGTCGCCCGCCTCGGCCTCCCAAAATGCTGGGATTACAGGCGTGACAAATTTCTTTGTACTGAGCCACCTTTACTCTAAAAGACAAACTTCTATAATCTATCTGCTTATTCCATGCTTCAGAGGCTTTTAAGTTCAATATACATATCCCAAAGCAAATTCGTTATCTTTCTAAGTCTGGGCCTCTTGATCCCTATCTCCACGAATGGTACCATTATCTGTTCAATTCAGTACTAACCAGAGATTGAGAAATCATTCCTCCTACATTGTCCATCACCTGGGCGTCCAGTTCCTCACCAAGCAAAGTGTATTGTACCTCCATGTAGATCTACCAAGCCCACCGGCTTCTTTCCATCCATACTGGCACCATCTTTTTTTTTTTTTTTTTTGGCCGCTGGGACTGTGCGCGACTTCCATCCAGCCATACGTTCCTGCACCATGCTTCCTATCCACAGCATTACTCTCAGCGGTACTTCTTCCGCAGTCACCCCACATTTTTGTTTATAAAATTTAGATTTGCTGGTATTTTCTACTCCTACCTTCTTCATGGGGCATTTTGAACATTTTTTTTTTGAGACGGTGCAGTTCTCGCCCCAGCCTGTGCCAGGCCTGGATGCCGAATGGCAGGATCTGTCGCGCATCACTGTCAAGCTTCCGACCTCCCAGCGTTCACGCCGATTTCTCCTGCCCTCAGCCTCCCAAGCTAGCTGACTACAGAGGCGGCTGCTGCACCTGATGCCCGGCCTCAGATTTTTTGTGGTATTGTGTTGTGTGAGAGAGGATGCGAGCTTGCACCGTGTTAGCCAGGATGGTCGTCGATCTCCTGACCTCATTGGATCCTCGCGTGCCTCAGCCTCCCAAAGTGCGTGGGTACAGGCCATGAGCCACCGTCGCCTGGCCCGAACAGATTGTATGGCCCTGGTGAGTATTACATTTTGTCGGCTGTTTATATACCGGTTACTAGGGATTTTCTTTTTTTTGTTTTTTTTTTTTAGACAGAGATCTCACTCTGTTGCGCCCAGGCTAGAAGGGCTGCAAAGGCGCCGATCTTGGCTCGTGGGAACCCTCCACCCTCGCGGGTTCAAGCCCGATTCTTTTGCCTCAGGCCTCCCAATGCTACGCAAGACGTGCGGCGTGGTGCGTATGCTACACGCCCAGCTGCGATTTTTGTATTCTTTAGTAGAGACGAGTTTTGTTCAATGTTTGGTCAGGGCTGGTCTTGAGACTCCTGTCTTCAAGTGATCTGCCCACCTTGCGCTCCCGCAAGGCCTGGATTACAGCTTGAACGCATTGACCAGCCCGCCCGCCGGCCGTTAGGGGTTTTTTTTTTTGTTTTGTTTTTTTTGATGGACGGAGTTCGCTCTTGATCGCCAGCAGGCTGAAGTGCAGTGGCCCGGATCTCAGCTCACTGCAAGCTTCCGGCCTCCCGGTTCACTGTTGTTTGCGCGGTTCATGCCATTCTCCGGCCTCAGCCTCCGCGGAGTAGCTGGGACTACAGGGCGCGCCCCGCCAGCTCGCCCGGTATTTTTTGGTATTTTGCGGTAATACGGAGACGGGGTTTCACGTGTTAGCCAGCTGGTCGTCGAGCTCTGCCTGGACCTCGTGAATCCGGCCCGTCTCGGCGCGCGTGCCCAAGAAAGCTGTAGCAGGGCTTGAGCACCGCGGCCTGGCCAGTTTTTTTTTTGGGTTTTTTTTTTTTGAGACGATGTCTCTGTTTCTTGTTCTTTCCCAGCTGGAGTGGCAGTGGCCGATCTTCAGGCTCCACTGAGCAAGGCCTCGTCCTCCCGGGTTCACGCCATTCTCCTGGCCTCAGCCCCGAGTAGCTGGGATTACAGGTGCCTGCCACCTCGCCCGCTAAGTTTTTTTGTATTGTATTTTTAGTTAGAGACGCGCGGTTCTCACGTGTGCTTAGCCAGGATGGTCTCAGATCTCCTGACCTCGTGATCCGCCCGTCTCGGCCTCCCAAAGTGCTGGGATTACAGGCTTGAGCCACCGCGCCCGGCCCAGTTTTTTTTTTTTTTTTAAATGACAGTCTCGTTTTTTGTCTCTCAGGCTAGAGTGTAGTGGTACGATCATAGCTCACTGCAACCTCTGACTCCTGGGCTCAAGTGATCCTCCCACCCCAACCTCTCGAGTAGCTGGGACTACAGGTGCATGCCACCGTGCCCAGCTAATTTTTTTTTTTAAATTTTGTGTAGAGATGGGGTTTCACCATCTTGCCTAAGCTAGTCTCAAACTCTTGGCCTCCAAACAGTTCTGCTGCCTTACCTCCCAAGTCTTTGGGATTATAGGCATGAGCCACTGTGCCTGGCCTTGTCCCTTAAAATGAGTTATCCATTTGTAAACAGCTGGTTTCTTTGGAGCATTGTCCCCATATACTTTTCTTTCATAAAGCATTGGTGATTTCACCCTTCTTCCACCCAAGCTTCACCTTGAATTTGGTGTTCATTGTTGCTTCCATTTTAGCAGAATTCGTGTTGCTCTGATGGGACTCTTTTCAAATTGATGTCTAATCCTTCTTAGTGCCTCACACTAGATGTTGTTCAGACACGTTATAACAAGTTAGTATGAGTTTATTTCAGTGCAAAAAATTTTTGAAATGCATGGATAGTTTTTTCATAATGCACATTTTTCATGTACTTTTTCAATTCCTCTCATATATGCGTGTGGTTTTAAAATCAAACAGAACAGAACAGTGTTTATGGCCGGGCATGGTGGCTCACATGTGTTAATGTCACTTGGGGAGGCTAAGGCAGGAGGATCCCTTGAGGCCAAGAAGGAGTTTGATACCAGGCTGGGCAACATAGCAAGATCCTGTCTCTATTTCATTTATAAAGAAGAAAGAAAGAGGTGTTTAATGTAATTACTGACCTTCTGCCCTACCTTGTCCACTTCTATTCCACAGAAATAACTGCTTTTTAGAAAAATCACTGTCATTGACATTTCACTTACATACAGTAAATTGTACCTTTTTTTTTTTTTTAAACAGAGTCTCCTGTTGCCCAGGCTGGAGTGCAGTGGCGCAGTGTCAGCTCACTGCAACCTCTGCCTCCCAGGTTCAAGCAATTCTCATGCCTCAGCCTCCTTAATAGCTGGGGTTATAGGTCATGCCACCTTGCCTGGCTAATTTTTGTACTTTTAGTAGAGACAGGGTTTTGCCATGTTGACCAGGCTGGTCTCGACCTTCTGGCCTTACATGATCTGCCTGCCTTGGCCTCCCGAAGTGCTGGGATTTACAGGCATGAGCCATCACGCCCAGCCAAATCGCACCTATTTTAAGTGTACAGGTTGATGAACTTTGACAAATGTACGCACCCCTGTAACTGCATTGCCCCAGTGGAGATACAGAATAGTCCCATCAGTGCACCCCTCCTCCCGCTCCTTCCCCACCTCCGTCCTCACCCGAGGCAGTCAGTGTTCTGGTTTCTCTCTGTAGGTTAGTTTTGACTTTCCTAAGACTTCATATAAATGGAATCAAATAATATCTACCTTTTTGTGTCTGGCTTCTTTCAGCAATTTTTTTGTTTTTTTTCCAGAGGTAGGGTCTCTGTCACCCAGGCTGGAGTACAGTGACACAGTCATGACTCACTCCAGCCTTGACCTCCTGAACTTAAGAGATCCTCGCACCTCAGCCTCCTGAGTAGCTGGGACTACAGGTGCATGTCACCACTCTTGGCTAATTAAAAAAAAAAATTTTTTTTTTTTTTTTTGAGATGCAGTCTTGCTCTGTTGCCAGTCTGGAGTGCAGTGGCGTGACCTCAGCTCACTGCAACCTCTGCCTCCTGGGTTCAAGCGATTCTCCTGCCTCAGCCTCCCGAGTAGCTATGCCTGACGAATTTTTGTATTTTTAGTAGAGACAGGGTTTCACCATATTGGTCAGGATGGTCTCGATCTCTTGACCTCGTGATCCACCCACGTTGGCTTCCCAAAGTGCTGGGATTACAGGCGTGAGCTACCACACCCGGCCTAAAAATATTTTTTGTAGAGATGGAGTCTTGGTGTGTTGTCCAGGATGATCTTGAACTCCTGGGCTCAAGTGATCCTCCCACCTTGGCCTCCCGAAGTGTTGGGATTACAGGCATAAGCCACCACTGTGGACCAAAATGGTTTTTGAGCTTTATCCATGTTAATTCAGTAATTTGCACTTTTGTATTGCTCAGTAGTATTCCATTGTGTGACTATAACAAAATTTGTTTATTATTGCACATTTGGGTTATTTTCATCGTTTGGCTTAAATGAAGATGCTATGACCATTTAAGGACAAATCTTTTTGTGGAAATATGTTTTCATTTCTCTGGGATAAAGATCTAGGCACGTCATTGCTGGGTCATAGGTAACTGAATGTTTAAAAGAAATTGCCAAACTTTTCCAGTGTGATTATGAGAATTCTAGTTGCTCCATGTCCTTGCCAGTCATCAGTCTTTGATCTTGAGTAGTCTAGTGAAAGTATAAAGGTATCTCACTGTGGTTTTAATTTGTATTTCTCTGGTGACGAATGAGCATCTTTTCATGGGCTTACTGGCCATTTGTATATGTTCACAAAAGAAGTGTCTGTTCACGTCTTTTGTTCACCTAAAAACTGGGTTTTGCGCTTGTTAAAGCATTGTAAGAATTCTTTATTCTTGATAGGTCTTTTGTTAAATATAAATATTACATATATTTTCTCCCAATCTGTGACTTGCTTTTTCTTTTTTGAAATTTTCTTTTTTTGAAGTACGCTTTTAAATTTTGGTGAAGTCCAGGTTATCAGGTTGTGTTTTTTTGTCTGTTTTTGTTTTGTTTTTTGCAGACTTGTATTTGTGTGTCCTAAGAAATCTTTGCTAGGCTGGGCGCGGTGGCTCACGCCTGTAATCCCTGCACTTTGAGAGGCTGAGGCAGGTGGATCACCTGAGGTCGGGAGTTCGAGACCAGCCTGGCCAACATGGAGAAATCTTGTCTCTACTAAAAATACAAAATTAGTGGGGCGTGGTGATGGGTGCCTGTAATCCCAGCTACTCGGGAGGCTGAGTAGAATGGAGGAGGAGAATGGTTTGAACCCAGGAGGCGGAGGTTGCGGTGAGCCAGGATCGCGCCATTGCACTTCAGCCTGGGCAACAAGAGTGAAACTCAGTCTCAAAAAAATAAAAAAAAGAAATCTTTGCCTACCCCACCCAAGGTCACAAATCTTTTATACTGTGTTTTCTTCCAGAAGTTTTATAGTTTTAGCCTTGTCTTGTGGTCCATGATGCATTTCAAGTTTACTATTTTATCTATGATATATGGATCTTTTTTTTAATATAGATATTCAGTTGTTCCAGCCCTGTTTATTGAAAAGACTATCCTGTTACATTGAGTGACTTAGTCACTTTAGATAAAATCAATGGACTGTATATGTGTATATCTCTATTTCTGGAATGTCTGTTCTGCAATTGATTTGTATGTTGGTGCTTACGTCAATACCACATTGTCATAAAAATTGCAGATTTATAGTAAATGTTGAAATTTGGCATTGTAAATTCTGCAGCTTCATTTCTTTCTTTTTATTTTGAGGCGGAGTCTCACTCTGTCACCCAGGCTGCAGTGGTGCAGTGCTCACTGCAACCTCTACCTCTCGGGTTCAAGCAGTTCTCCTACCTCAGCCTCCTGAACAGCTGGGATTACAGGCCCCCGCCACCACACTCAGCTAATTTTGGTATTTTTAGTAGAGATGGGGTTTCACTATGCTGGCCAGGCTAGTCTCGAACTCCCAACCTCATGTGATCCGCCTGCCTCGGCCTCCGAAAATGGTGGGAGTATAGGCCTGAGCCACCGTGCCTGGCCTCCAGCTTCATTTCTTATTTTTATTTTTATTTTTATTTTTTGAGGCAGGATCTCACTCAGTCACCCAGGCTGGAGTGCGGTGACATACATGATCATAGTTTACTGCAGCTTTATCTCCCTGGCTCAAGTGATCTTCCCACCTCACCCTCCAAGTAGCTGGGACCACTACGCCCAGCTAATTGTGTTTTTTTTTTTTTTTTTTGAGACAGGGCTTTACTCTGTCACTCAGGCTAGAGTACAGTGGTGCCATCTCACCTTACTGTAGCCTCTGCTTCCCAGATGCAAGCAATCCTCCTGCCTCAGCCTCTCGAGTAGCTGGGACTGCAGGCGTGTGCCACCACACCCAGCTACTTTTTGTATTTTTAGTAGAGACAGGGTTTCACCATGTTAGCCAGGATGGTCTCAATCTCCTGACCTCGTGATCCGCCCGCCTTGGCCTCCCACAGTGCTGGGATTATAAGTGTGAGCCACCGCGCCCGGCCCCACCTGGCTAACTTTTTATAGAGACAGGGCTCCTTATGTTGCCCAGACTGGTCTCAAGCTCCTGGGCTCAAGTGATCCTCCTCCTTCCGTCTCCGAAAGTGCTGAGATTATAAGCATGAGCCTTGTTGGTAGTTTTCAGTGTGCAGTTCTTACATACGTACTGTTAAATATATCCCTAAATAATTTACTTTTGAGACCCCGTGTGGTGGCTCACACCTGTAATCCCAGCACTTTGGGAGGCTGAGGCGGGCAGATCACCAGAGGTCAGGAGTTCGAGACCAGCCTGGCCAACATGGTGAAACCCTATCTCTACAAAAATACAAAAATTAGCCAAATGTGGTGGTGCACGCCTGTAACCCCAGCTACTCAGGAGGCTGCAGCGGGAGAACTGCTTGAACCCGGGCGTTAGAGGTTGCCGTGAGCTGAGATTGCGCCACTGCACTCTAGCACGACAGAGCAAGACTGTCTCAAAAAAAAAATTTTTTTTTGATGGTGTCTAAGTGGCATTTTTGAAAATTTCATTCTTCAGTTGTTTATTGCTAGTGTATTGAAATACACGTGATTTTTCCACAACCCACCTTGTGTCCTGCAAACTTGCTAAATCAACTTACTAGTTTTTATAGATACCGTAGGATTTTCTATGTAAAGGATCATGTTGTCTACAAATAAAGGAAGTTTTATTTGTTCCTTTTTAATATTTTTATTTTTTATTTTGAGAGGGAGCCTCACTCTGTCGCCCAGGCTGCAGTGCAGTGGCGCGATCTCAGCTCCCTCCAACCTCCGCCTCCTGGGTTCAAGCGATTCTCCTGTCTCAGCCTCCCCAGCAACTGGGATTACAGGCATGCGCCATCACGCCCAGCTAATTTTTTAATTTTTGGAAGAATCAGAGTTTCACCATGTTGGCCACGCTGGTCTCGAACTCCTGACCTCAAGTGATCTGCCCGCCTTGGCCTCCCAAAGTGCTGGGATTACAAGCATGAGCCACCGCGCCCGGCCAGTTCCTTTTTAATCTTTATGCCCATTTTTCCCTTGCCTTATTGCATGAGTTAGAACCTCTAATACCACGTTGAATAAAGATGTTAAGAGGTATATCCTTGCCTTATTCCCGATCTTAGTAGCCTGTGATTGTTTTTTACTGTTAAGTGTGATGGTAACCATAGATTTTTTTTGTAGATGTCAGCTATCAGTTTAAGCATTACTTCTATGCCTAGTTTGCTAAGACTTTATAATGAATAAGTGTTGCCTTTTCTGTATGTGTTCAGTTGATAATGATTTTTCTCTGTTCTGTGAATGTGACAAATTACATTGATTTTTCAGTTGTTGAATAAACCTTGCCTTTCTTGACTAAATCACACTTGGTCATGACATATTACCCATTTTATATAGTGCTGGATTTGATTTGCTATTATTTTGCTGAAGATTATTTTTTTTTTAATTAGACAGAGTCTCGCTATGTTGCCTAGGCTGGTCTTGAAGTCTTGGGCTCAAAACAGTCCTCCCATCTCGGCCTCCCAAAGTGCTAGGATTATAGGCATGAACCACTGCATGGGGTGGTCTTTTTTTTTTTTTTCCTGTCGTAGTAAACCTAACATCATAAAATGACTTGGAAAGAAAGTCTTGTCTTTTCTGTTTTCTGAAATAATTTATGCAAGTTTTCGTTTGTTTGTTTGTTTTTTCTTAAATGTTAGAATTCACCAGTAAAGCCATCTGGACCTAGAGTGTTCTCTTTTGGAATATTTAGAATTATAAATTCAATTTCTTTAATAGATATAGAGCTACATAGATTTTCTTCTGTATCAGTTTTGATAATTTGTATTTTTCGAGAGGTTTATCCACTTTATCTTGGTTGTTTTATAAAGTTGTTCCTAACATTCCCTTATTATGTCTTTAATATATATAGAATTTATTTATCTAATTCCCTGTTAATGAGTACCAGAGGGAAATGAATGTGCTGTTATGAATAATGAATACATACGTGATACCGGTGTTAGAGATGTACTGTGTTTCCTTGTTGTAAAACACGTATCTCCCTCTTACCATTTTATGATTTGTCCAGAGTGATCAACTAGACGTTTCAGCTGACAGACTCTGAATAGGCTCTTTTAACAATCTTACCTGTATATTCCAAATACGAACTATAAAAACATGTCATTTTCTTCGTGCTTTGAGTGCATATCTCACACAAACCTGTTTTTACTCCCTCAGGCCATCATGCAGCAGGGGGATACATCCATAAAGCCCATCCTCCAAGTCATCGTAAGTACCTGTGTGTGTCCCTTGTCAACTTCATTAGAGTCAGCTGATTATAAATTACGTCCGATGAAGGACGGACAGATTTGTCCACTTTTGGAAATTCCCCGCGTTGTCCCAAAAAATAGGCCAGTCTCCATTGTACCCCTGAAAGGAGCCAGGCTTTTTGAAAATATTACTACGTGAGCTGCTAAGTTCTACCGTCTTTGGAGGTTCAGATTGAAGGCTTTGCCTCACTCCCTCCTCGCCGTTGATAGATGACTGTGATGCACCTTGCCTTTTTGCCCTTGGGTTTGTCTCGTTCACATCAGCCTTTTATATGACTTCCAGAAATACATCTAATATGAACTTGTCTCCTTAACATTCTTCAGTTAACACATCATTTGTTTAAGGGGTTCTCGAACTTCAGTGGGAGTTTTGAAAAATAGAGGCAGAATGTGGGCTCCCGCCTGCAGGTTTTCGGTCAGCCGGTCTGATGGGTCTCTGCTGTAGGGCGCTAGCTGTGGGTCAGCGTGGGCCTCTGTGCGCAGATTTCACTTCCTTTGGAAACCTGCCTCTGCTCTCTCTCAGGTGGGGATGAAGGTCTCGGCTCTGCCACCTGATCATGGGCACATGTCACTTAGGTCTCTGTGCCTCCATCTCCACCCTAGTCGTTAGCCCCTTCAGGACAAGGATACTTTTTGTTCATTTTGTATTTTTAGCACATTTGCTACAAAACACCTTGTGTATATTGGGTGCCTCATTATTTATTTATTTATTTATTTTGGTAATTGATTTTCAGCCAAATTTGAGTCAGAACTCAAGAGTACAGGCAGCTCGGTTTCCTTCCCTCTGTATTGTGTTTAATAATGTTAGTGGAGAGGTGAGTGGGAAAATCATCACATCCAATTTTCTTTTACTTGGATTTAGGTGTCAAGAGAATGGGCAAACAGTTCAGTTTGTGTTGAACTAATGGCAAACTCACTCTCCTGCCACTTCGGTTTACTTATCCCTGGGGACGGGGCAGACAACCTGGCTAATCAATCAAGTTTTCTGTCCTAGAACATCCGTCCCATTACCACGGGGAATAGTCCGCCACGTTATCGACTGCTTATGAGTGATGGATTGAACACTCTGTCCTGTGAGTATGGTGTATCCATCTAGAAATGTGTGAGTATTTAAATAATAGAAGCACACCCAGCCCTTTAGTTGCCATAATTTGGGGGCATTCATGAAGTCCATACTTGCTTGGCTGTGTACTTCATTCAGACAGAATTGCAGCTGTCAGCATTCCAACAATAGACTAGAGGTAGTGGAAAGCTGCCACTTGGCTTAATTAATTTTCTCTAACTGGTGTTCTGTGTTTTCTCTGATTAATTTCCCTAAGGATGATGTTGACATCAGTGAGCGTGATGGGTTAGCTGCCCTATACTTTCCTGTTTGGGGGTTTTATTTCTGTGTCGGAAGCTATAAAGGGGAGAAAGGAGAGAATTTTTAAATGATTTTGACCACTTCAGCAAATTCACTCATTTAAGAGGAGCAGCAAATGTTTAACAGCAAAATACACAGTTTTTCACTATGTAGAGTCTGACCAGTTTTCATTTCAGGAACGTATGTAAGGCGTTTTTCTTCGCTAGCACAGGTATGAGTAGCTTTCAGATTCTTAAGACTGCAGGATTTTGGAGGCTGAAGAAATCTCTGTGCTTTTCAGCTTTCATGTTGGCAACACAGTTGAACCCCCTGGTGGAGCAAGAACGACTGTCCAGCAACTGCGTTTGCCAGATTCACCGATTCATCGTGAACACGCTGAAAGACGGAAGGTATGCGGTGTGGTTTTTTTCTGTCTTATTGTATTGTAGAATGGGAACAAATTTAAGAACAAAAAAGGCAAGAGTGAGTTTTCAGCTAAGAATTTAACAGCTATTCAGTTAAGAACTCGGGTGGCTAACACATGGCACCCAAGGAAGAAATACACGGAAAGAAGTCGGAAATTTCAGAGCAGAAGATTAAAGTAGAAC